ACCACTTATCCCCCAGGCTCAGCCTGCAGCCAACAGTCGCAGGGTGCAGCTTACTATCGGTTTGGGAATGCTCCAGGCCCCCTCCCCACAGCTTGAGCTCCAGTCCCCATTCAACTCTGAAAAGAAAATGGGCGAAATCCGGGAGAGACTCATTGCCCGGCGTAGTAGGGTCCGGTAGTTCTTTTTTTCAGTGATCAGCCCCCCCCCCCCCCACAGCTCATTTTGCCACACTAATCCCCTGCACAGCCGGCAGGTTAAACTCGCTGCGTATTGATTTTCGCTTAAACTCTGACGCTCTGATGTTAGTTTCATGAATCGTCAAGAGTTAGCACAGAGTTCTTCCCTGGCAATCCCGATATCTGCGTTTTTAATCCATGACGTCACAGGTAGCTACGCCACCAACGAACGACTGCATTCAAAAACGTGGACGCTGTTGTGCGCATTTAAGTGGCCTACATTCAGGTACCTTTTCTACGCAGGTTGTCATGTGCGTTTGCGAGGAACGTTATGCACATAGATATAGACAGAAGTAATAGCCTTATTCCCCGCAGAATGCTAGGAGAATGGAGAGATAGATGTGTACATATTTCGGCAACATGTCTTTATCAAGGCGAATATCAACAGTAGTTTGATTGCTAGTAGTTTCAGTAGTAGTAGTTTGATTAGTAGTAGTTTCACTACTGATATTCGTGTTGGTAAAAGTACATTGCTAAAATATCAACGCATCAGTCTCACCAATATCCTGCTTTTTTCTTCCAGGATGTGATGTGATGAGGCCACGATTTCAAATTTGCCTGCTAAGCGCACATTAAACTGTCAAAAAAACACTTTTTGAAAAGTATGAGTGCTTAGTGCTAGATTAGTTTTCCAGCTCAAGACGAGTCAAGTGGTGTCATTTTTGTCCCAATTCATTCATGTTTATAGGGTAACAAGGAGCTTAACAATTGGTCGTTTCGACGTCTTTTGCTCCAGGTGGGTCAACAGAGCGTTTTAAAGATTGACAAGGACTTGAACGTTGGATACTAAGCCCTCAGCGCTCTCTTACCATGCCGATTCCTCATTTTCAACAATAACACCTAGTTGGTGTTTCGCCTGATCGAACGGTGTAAGAATTAGGGCAGGGGAAACAGCAGTGCTTGACAATGGAGATGGTTTAAACTGAGTCGAATTGGGTATAAAACAAATACCGCGATGAGTGCAGCTCGATGATATGCAGGGTGGGCACATTTTATTTCCCTTTAATCCCGTCCAAACTTTTCTGACACTGATGCCCTTCCTTCGAACCCTGCCAAAAGGACAGAAAATATCAAGCAAGGTGAAATAAAAATAGACGTAGCAAACATAACAACGCTTCACGTCATTACTCTGCAACACGATAGTTCTGAGTACGTCGTGTATTGTACGTCACTACACATTGAAATGTCTGCAGTGCGCGCATATTAAAGATCCTGACGTGCTGCCGGTGAACTCCCACCACTTGCAGGAGGCACTGCAGCTAACCTCTGTCACCGTCTTCAATGCTTGCGAAGGTCTCAATCATTGACACATCTTCTTGCCGTTCAAATTCACGGCAAAACGGGCAGCCATCGTTTGCTTCCCATTCGTCATTTGGTTTGCTTGGCCACCGGCTAGTATCGATCTGAGTAAGATGAAACACTAGCCAAGAGGACTCATCTACCAGATCCAACAATCCTTGCTCCGAGTTGGCGAATGGTATAGCATCTTCAAAATTATTCGCTACCGGCATGAACGACAGCATCAAGGCCACAGCAGCGTGTTCCATTAGCATTGACATCACCCGAAACCAGACAGAACACGACGGTCTGGGGCCTCAAATAAGTCAAGTGGAGATGCATGTCGTCCAACGCTGCTCCGGCCACGGGTCCCTCGACCGTCCGGTTGCGCAGCAGGGCCAGGTATGGCTTCAGGTCTTTCCTTGGGTCCTGGTACGGCTTCAGGTCTTTCCTTGGGGCGTCAGCTGACACCGGTGCAGACATTCACCCAGGTACACTGCCGCTGACGCTCTAGGAAAACACCTGAGGCTGCACCAGAGCCTGTTGCGCGACAGGATGGCTGTAAAGCCCGTGGTAGGAATAACTTTGGCCATTATGTGTGGCTACGTAGCCTATTTGAGGCCCGAGATGGTGGTGTTCTGCGTAGTCTCGGTTGACGTCAGCGATGGGATAATGAGATGGCAGCTATGTGAAGGTAGCTCTGGCTTCCTAATGAGAAGGCAGCATTGGCTTCGACCCAGTCCATGCCAGTGGCGAATGATTCTGAGCATAATAATTTGTCGATGAGGTAACGATGTAAAGTGAAAGCTTGTTTGACACGGAAATTCAAATTTCACACGGTTGATTTTTCCTTTGTCGACGTCAAACAGAGGGTAGGAAGCTCGAAGTGATGGCAGATGGGGTTAAAGAGAGGTCAACAGAGCCTACGGCGATTTTTCTCACCACAGAGCTGCTTTTGTTGTGAGGGTCCGTTTGACGCCCATCTTGGTACAAAACGACATTTTCACTTTAAAGCACTGCTACCCCCTCCCCCGCAAGCTATGTTTCCTTAGGTCAAGTGATACACTAGCTTGATGTTATTGTCCAAAATAAGGATTCGGCAATGTAAGAGAACGCCAAGGCCTTTGTTTCACGCGTCCAAGCGGAAAATGGATAGGTCCATGTCAATTTCAGCCATGAGATCTGCTGGCGAAATTTGGCCATGTGCGCTGGCGAGACTTGGTCATGAGGTCTACTGGCAAGATCTGGTCATGAGACCTGCTGACGAAATCTGGCCATGTCTGCTGGCGAGATCTGGTCATGAGATCTGCTGGCGAAAACTGGTCATGTCTGCTGGCGAGATCTGGTCCCGAGATCTGCTGGCAATCACGGTACTGGGTTCTCAGAAAAGGTAAGAAATCCCCCTATATACAGTTCTGGTGGCATGTTAGCCCGTTCACATTCTTCCTGCTTGGTATGATCACATGTTGTGTGATCGTCAATCTGAGTATCATTACGATCATTCACGTGGGCTAATGGCGGCCACATCAGTAACTTGCGTAGGCACTTGCGTCGCTCATGAAGCTTACTTCAAGGAGGATATCCTTCCAGCGGGTGTATACAACCTTGAATATATATATATATATATATATATATATGCTTAAATTCATATACATGTGCATATATACTATAAATATCAAATGTAAATATATGTAATATATAGATATAGATGAATATATATATATATATATATATATAGATGCTATATATATATATATAGTCATAGATATGTGAATATATAACTATATGAATACATCATATATCTGTATACATCAGTATATAGACCACTTGACTTATCCTTGGGATCTACTATATATATATATATATATATATATATATATATATATATATATATATATATATATATACAACGCATAGGGAGTCCGTACCTGGCATTTGATTGCCAGAATAGTTGGAGCTGAACTTGTTGTCCATCATGATGTCTTTGGCCTATCCGGTGGACATCGCTTTTTGGGACAAGTTACGGATGGGTGTCCTCTTACATCTTTTTTATCTCCAGAAACTTCTAGCACCTATGGTCGCCCTTTATAGTCTGTACTTTGTCTCCTTTCTGTCATATATTTTGGACAGATGACTGTGATGTGCGAAAATACTTTGCTGCCGCTGATTTGCAAATGCTGCGATATGCCAACTGTGCCTTTAGCCGCTTTCAGCAACTGCCGCCCGAGTTTTTCTGCCATGTTCACCAACGCTTGGCGTTATCAGTGTGCTGAACACGCTTTTCAACAAATGTCGTTGATCTAGGGTCAGATATGAAGGTCCGACTGTGGTCAAAACCAACGAACTTTTTCACTGGAAAACATATTATGAGGTAGTTTATTATGTTTATCTCGAAATTCTTGATAACAGTGACCACAAAAGACATTTTTAATGGGCTTCCTATAGGTCAGTGTAGGTCAGTGACTTAAACTCAGCCAGATCAACCCTCTGTGTTTAGGAACGCACGGTCTAGCGCAATCCTTAACGCTTGCTCAAATAACTTAAAAAAGCAGCACACGATTTCGTAGGTTTTTGGTCACCGTGGCATTCTAAGGGTCAAACAACGTCACTGACCAAAAGTGAACACCAGGGTCTTTTTCCCTAGAACAGATATCTAGGTTGAATGTATTTGCATGAGGTCTGGCGGCACTTCGAACAAAAATGTTGAGTTTGACCTTGTTTTGGCCTTATGTGACCTTAAGGTCATGACCTCTTGGCCTCACATTATGGCACAAGTGAGTTCACATGCAGACCAACGCGCAATGTGAATTTTGTAAGTCTAGCTCCCTTAGCTTTTTTACATCTCAAAAAGTCAAGCTGACATCCCCGTCCTACGCCACCCGAGCGAAGGGTACTCAGCCGGCCACCCGGGTACGTGTGCACAGAGGACAAGCATATGAAAAATACCTACTGCCTATACAACTTATTCAGAATTTATTCGCCGCTGCACATGAAAAAATGTTGTTCCGCTATGACTTTCGCTTTACTAGTGGAAACCAGCCGGAATGCTTTAAATATATGCTGCATTTATACTTTGATTCCACTCAGCCATAAACCATAACAAAATAGCTCACTCACTTTTGATTCTGAATCTGCCAAAAACTGATTCCAATCAAACTTTATTAAGCCATCTTCGGCGCGATTTATGGGACGATTGTGATTTGGAATCCAACTGGGCACAAGTCTGTTGATACTTGTCGAGCGCCTCTCAATCACGATCCCAGTTGCGGGGTGCTCGTGGATCGCCGCCCCCTGGTCGGGTGCCGGTGAGCTGCAGCGCTGGCTGCTGGGCGCCTGTGGGTGATGACCCTGCTGCCGGCTGGCCGGAAGCCGACTGTCCGCCGCGGCCCGGGCCAGCGGCGTCCCTCCGAGGGGTCGGCGGACGGCGTGGGACAGCCCCCGGCGCCTCCAACCCGCCTCGGCCGGCGGCATCCAGTATAAAAACAACGTTTGCCCCTCGCTCTCCAACCAGTGCTTCTTTACCAGCCCCTCTCCGCAAAGACTTTCAGGTAAGTGGCGTTGCTGCGTATGGGTACTAATGCCTCGCGCGTTATCTGGCGCATTTCCCCGGAAACCTTGCCTGTACCTACAGCATCGCGCGCAGCCTTCCGGCCGCAGCCCTACGAGCTTTTCCTGCCGGTGGTGGGGGACGCGTAGCGTGTTACATGGCGGCATCAGTCGTCACTCCGTTACGGCGCGCCGGGCGTCGGCGGCTCGCCGTCCGCCGTGTCGACAGCCGCGTTACCGCAGGGCGGCTGACCTGAGCCCGGGGTCGGCCGTAAACTGGCGATCGCTCCACGGGGTCCTCTCGGGCTGATTGCTCCCATGGAGATTGATGTCGTTGGGCGGCTTGAACGGGGTGCTGATAAGCTTCGGCGCCATACGCTCCGCACGTGCGATGGCCGTCCCACGCGGCGCCACCAGTGATGTGACACACGCAGCCTATGGCATTGGCACACGCGTCCGGGTTTAAGTTTCCTCGATCAATCGACAGCGATCCAGCTGAGGGCACGTTATGGCTAAGGACACGTTATGGCACGTTACGTTAAGGCTCTGACACGACCTGGGTTTGGTCTCATACATGAGTGGCGATGTGGCAAGTGATACTGAACCTTTGGACGTCGAATAGTATTGTCAGAACTTGCATTTCAACAAGTATACCCCATAAACACTGCATAGTGGATGAATAACTTAATGTCTGGTGTATGTTCCAAGCCCATGTGGCGAGTGCGGCGTTCATTTACGCTGGCTGCCTCGCCCCGATACAATCTTTAAAAGCAAGTCTTCTTCGGCCCCGTTGAACTTTCCTTGTGGTGCTGAATAGTCCTGGCTTGGGTTGCTTAGCTAGCGTTATGTTAGTACCCTCATTTGTGTTGCGCGAAATTGATGATATTAAAAAGTCATTCTGCTTAGTTTTCACGAACAAAAGCTTTTAAATGGAAGTGCTGCAGCGCTTACACTGGGAAAGAGATGTTACAAGGCGGTGAGGGTGTTGCTTGGACTTGCGCACCAAACCCGCCGCTTGCCCGGCTGCGCCGCCTGTTGGTCCAATCGCACACCCCTCACCAGCCGCGTAATATCTCTTTTCCAGGATGTGGCGTCTGGTGCTATTGCTGGCGGGTGCGTCGGCGCAGCTGCTCCCGCCGCCGCCGGACGGTGGTTACCTGCCGCCGCCGAGCGCGCCGGCCGCCGACCAGCCCTGCCCGGCGGCCCGCACTGAGTACATTACGCAGACGCAGCTGGTCTCGACCACCGTCACCCGGCACGCCGTCTCCACGCTCGTCTCGCACGCCACGGTCAGCGAGCAGGTGACCCGGGCCGTGCCGAGCACGCTCACCCGCACCGTGCTGCAGACCGTGCCGCTGGAAGTGGTCACCACCCTTTACAACACGCGCCTGCTGGACCAGACGCAGACGCGCACCGTCCAGGTGCCGGGTCCGACGCGCACTCTTACCTCCACTCAGCACGTGACCAGGACCAGTCACGTGCTCCGCCACGCCACGTCCACGCTGCTCCGCACGGTTGTGTCCACGCGGACGGCCTTGGACACGGTGACGACCACCAAGGTGAGCGTGTCCACGCAGTTCTACCCGTCCCAGGTGGTCAAGTACGCCACCATCACGCAATCGGCGCCGGCCATCACCGTCACGCACGTGCAGTTGCAGCACGAGACGTCCACGATTATCAAGCAGGCTCCCGCCATCACCAGCGTGCTGCGCAAGCTGAATTACGTGACGCTCACCGAGACGGAACAGGTGGCCAGCGACCCGGTGACGCTCACGAAGGTGGTGACGGAGTCACAGCCCGTCCTGATCACCTCGACGGTGCACGAGCCGCGCTTCAACACCCAGTACGACACGGTGACGCGGACCAAGACCAACTTCGCCACACGCACCAACTTCGTCACGCGGCACAGCACTTTGGTGGTGCCCAGCACCGTCTTCGTGTCGCATGTGGTGACGCAGACGCGCACCAGCATTGTGACGCGGCCCGTTACCGTCACCAACACGCGCACCGTGGTGAGCAGCGTGGTACCGCCTCCGGTGGTACGACATGTGGCTACCACCCAGCTGCGGATCGTCACAGTCAGCGCTCCGCCCGTGGTGCAGGAACGCACCATCACCAGTCAGATCTTCAGCACTAGCACCATCACCAGCACTCGGGTGGTGCCGCAGGTCTCCACGCGCGTTGTTGAGGTCAAGGAGCCCTGTGAGGGGTACAACTACCAGCCGCCGGCCAACCCGTTCGGCTTCTGAGCTGGGATCGGATCGACGTCGCCCCTCACCAGCGGTTTTCTTTGTCTTTTTCAAAACCTGCTCTGTAGCGCCCAGGCGTCGTTGGTGCTCTTACCGGAAATACACGTTGCAACAGACAAATCTGGCATTTTTACGTTCAAAACGAGTTATCTACTTGTGACGTAGGATCATACGGGATCGAGGCGTTTGTGCTTAGAAACGACATCAGTGAAGTGGTGAGTAACCATTGGCGAAACCACCCCAATCTCTTTCAAAGCTCCTCCCATGAATGCAACCAGCACTCGCTCGCTTGTAATTTTGATGTGTTGTATAACCTGTTGTGATATATAGGTTCCGCTCGCTCTTTCCTCATTCGAATAGCTTTATTCCTTTGTCCTGATTTTCTATTTCCGGACTCGTTTCCAGTTTAAGTTCACATCGAAATGGTGTGAAATGGAGTATGTGGTCTCCAAGGTATGTTCAATATGCTTCAAATCTGAGCTGACTAATATGACGGGTTTGAGCTGGCTAACCGAGCTGAATGAGCTGACTAATGCGCCCTCACGTCACTGCGCGCTGTCTGCTGCGATAGTCGTGCACCGCTGGCGTGGCTGCTGAGCCTTTGTCTGCCGGCAGGATGCTGCTGGGCACACTGACGTGCTGCTGGCTGCTGGCGCTAGCTGGCGCCGCGCCGCAGGAGCAGTACCTGCCGCCGCCGCCCGCCCTCGACGTGCCCCAGTGCGCCCCGGCCGAGCCCAGCATCGTGGTCATCACGTCCTACTCGACGCTGGCACATGAGGTCACGAGCACTCAGGTGGTGCCCCAGCAGACGTACTATACGGTGACGGAGACGGTGCCGGTGGTGTCGTTCCACTTCTCGACCCTCACGAAGACGGAGCAGATTCCGACCACCCGGGTGCAGTACATCACCAGCACGCGCGTGCAGAATCATCAGGTGACACAAACGGTGGCAGCGCCGGCCGAGACCGTCACCGAGCACGCAGTTAGCACGCAGCTGCAGGTCAGCACCGAGTACCGCACGGCAGTGGTGCACAGCACGCACGTGCAGCCCACCACCGTCGTGCGCACGGCCTACCAGACGCGGGTGCTGACGCGCACCGAGCTGCGCCCCCAGTTCATCACCCAGACGAACACCGCCACGCAGACGGTGCCGGGTCAGGTGTACCAGCAGACCAAGTACACCACCCTCACGGCCACCGAGACGCAGCAGCTGCCGGCCGACACCCAGTACATCACCCGCACCAGCACGCAGGTCAGCCAGACGGTCCGCCCGTGGCGCCGGCTGCCGTCGATCGCGCGGTCTGCGGCAGGTGCTGCCGTCGACCGCGCGGTCTGCGGCAGGTGCTGCCGTCGACCGCGCGGTCTGCGGCGGGTGCCGCCGTCGATCGTGCGGTCTGCGGCAGGTGCTGCCGTCGACCGCGCGGTCTGCGGCAGGTGCTGCCGTCGACCGCGCGGTCTGCGGCAGGTGCTGCCGTCGACCGCGCGGTCTGCGGCAGGTGCTGCCGTCGACCGCGCGGTCTGCGGCAGGTGCTGCCGTCGACCGCGCGGTCTGCGGCGGGTGCTGCCGTCGACCGCGCGGTCTGCGGCGGGTGCTGCCGTCGACCGCGCGGTCTGCGGCGGGTGCTGCCGTCGACCGCGCGGTCTGCGGCAGGTGCCGCCGTCACGCTGGTACTGCGCGTTTAATTGCCGCTGTCGCCTCGTATTATCGACTTTTGTTTTGTTCAGAAAGCTTTGTTCATGACTTTGCTTTGTCGAGAGCTATATGAATAATTAGCTGGTGAGATATTGACGACTAACAAGTTGTTATCAACATGTAGCATTGGCTGTATCTGTTTATCTGAAGAAGAGAAAAGCGAGCACAGTCCGATGCTACGAACTTCCAAAATTGCAATGAAAAATCCGATGTGTCTGTAAAGCTAACGATTTGGTGACCCTTTTCAGACGTCGTACGCCACTAAGGTCGTGCAGCTGCCGGCTCAGACGCTGCACATTACACGCACGGAGCTGGTACCCAGCACCCAAGTGATCGTCTCCACCCAGCTGGTGCCTCGCCTGGTGCGCATCACCAACACGGCCACCATTACCGAGACGCAGACAGCCACGCAGACACGGCAGCGGCTGCTGATCAGCACGCGGCTGCAGCCCGTCACGCACACACAGTTCCAAACGCGTATACTGACCGTGCAGCGGGACGTGCCGGTCACGCAGTACCAGCAGCGCACCGTGGTCAGCACGGTTCTGCTGTCGGCCAGCACCGAGTACCTGACGCGCAGCCAGACGCAGCACAGCACGCTCCAGCTGCCGGCCTCCACTCTCGTGCAGGTGGTGACGCGCACTCAGGTCTCCAACCGGCTGATCACTTCCTACATCACCCGCCCGCTGGTGCGCGAGATCACCATCACGTCCACCGTGAAGCAGGAGTGCGGCTACAACTACCCAGAGCCCGCGGACGCCCTCAACTTCTGAGTGGAGAGATCCTGCTGACAGAGGAGCGGTCCTCCTGATGGCGGAGCAGTTCTCTTGACGACCGAGCGGTCCCTCTGAGGGCGGAGCGGTCCCTCTGAGGGCGGAGTGGTCTTCCGCAGGACAGCGCTCGTCCTGACGGTAGAGCGCTCCTCCTGACGGAGGAACGGTCCCCCTGAGAGGGAGCGGTCCCCGTGAGGGCGAACCTGTCCTCCTGACGACGGAGCGGTCCTCTTGGCGGCGGAGCGCTCCTCCTGATGGTGGAGCGGTTCTCCTGGCAGTAGAGCGGTCCCCCAGAGGACGGAGCTGTTCTGCTGACTACTGACGGCGAAGCAGCGTATCTTTCAACAGTGAAGCCTCTCTTACTCATCCCTCTCACGATGAAGCATTTTTCTTCGCGATGCAGCACTCTTGGTCTTGATGCCTTGGTGTCAGTTTCCATGGAGCCTGTGCTAGAGTGCCCGAGCCCTTCGCCCGCACTGAAAAGCCTCCTAAGAAGAGCTACCGTCCTGGGGTCACACTTTCCAGGGAAGGATTTCGACGGAACCGCTGTTGTAGCAGCCTCTCGCTGCTGTCGGGGAGGCCTGTGGAGATCGCTTGCAGGTGCCTCGTCCATGCTGGACGGAGGCAAACGGCGTCAGTGTTGCGCAGGACTGGACTTCAAATAACGTTCAATAAACCATGACTAGCAGCAGGCGTTTGTTGATGTTATCAAGTACTCGCGACACCTGTGAAATGAACGGCGGAGATGAAACAGGTATACGCATGCATGCTGGGATCAAACGTACAGTGCAAATCGCAGAAACGCGATGCATGAAATATGTGCCAAGTACATGCAATAATTCCATTTCATGTATCATGCATCACGGACGCCCTATTCTGACCTACTAACGGGCTCTGGCTCGACCAATCGACTGTGGTGACCTGTGGAGGTAATGGTGGTACGCATGCAAAGAGCGAATGACACGGATCTCAGTGAGCGCGGTGCAGCCCACTCTGTGAGAAGAGGAGAGTCCAGCCGGCGGACAGCGGCCAGACGAGGCGAACCATCCACAGCTGGGCAGTGCCGCCGCATGTCTCCCGCTCAACGTACGGCACCCACTGCGAAACATTTCGGATGATTAGAGGCAATACTCGATCACCTCAGAACGAAACAAAGTGGTACGTGGTTCTTCACATTGTCATTATCAGGTGATTCCAAGGCCTTTTCTCTCAGTTCATTGCTCTAGCGTCTGGTGCTGAAGAATAATTGGCAATAAATCCGCCTGTAGGCTTCGCTCCACGACGATTGCCTTTAACGTTGTGATGCTATATAACAGCCGTGGATTATCTTGACACTCAGAAGATCATCGTCACAAGGCAGGAAAGGCCCACGGTGTGAGCCACGGCCTACATCTGGACATAAATGTTTTTTTTGTGGCAGCTCTGATCGTAATTACAAAAATGTTTCCATGGACAGAAAGTACCTGCTCTGGGCGGCAAGATCGCAGTCCCATCATTGGTGGCGGTGAATTGTCGGTAAAGTACTTATGATGTGGACAAAGTCGAGTTTCGTTTTCAGATTCAGTCCAAACCATTTGATTAGATGTCTTTGTAAATCAGCACCCTCGCCAATAAGCGTCTGAGTGTTAAAAGTGTGATGGAGTATCTAAGTGCCTAAAGAGAATTGTTAAGTCCTTAAAGCGCCTATAAAGTCCTTAAAACGCCTGTTTCTTACGTGCGCCTTGACCCTACTCTCTGATCGGAAAAATCCGAGTCAACGGCATGATTTGGAGGCGAAAGCTTAATGTGTCGCAAACCCACAGTCCACCCTGTCCTTTACTATCACATGACCTTAAACGTAGCTCCAGGCGCTGGCCCAGGCTATTCCAGCGAGGACGAAATGGCAAGCGACTTGAGCGACGCGGATCCACCCAGCCGCCAGTGGGCGAATCGGAACGCAGACACTCCAACCAACTGAGCTAGCGGACGAACAGCATCATCTTTTAGCTGCATGATTCACTCAGACATTTTAGCATCATCGGTTGCATTTCTTTTTGAAGGGGGCGCGACTTGATTCTGAATTGTGTGCTGGCTATTAGAAACAATTGTATTGCGAGCTATCTTTAGATAGGCTTACTCCTTTTGACTGTTTTCTGATTAATACCACTTCTCATTGCACTGCTCGTTACATGAGGCATGCAGAGCAATGACCGGACGTAAACAGGTTCTACAGATTAGGTAAGCTTTTTTCGCGTACAGCTGTTCTGTCTTTACATCACACCACTCTATCCAACGGTAGATTTCCGTTTTCTTCAGATCTCACCACGTCAGTAAAGATAACGCGTATGGATCAGTGCGCTCTCTACGTAAAGCTGATGCCAGTGAACATGCGCACGTTTCGCTTACAGCTGATGCCAGCGAATTTGTATTGCGCACTACCGGTGATAAGGTAAGTGCACACTGTCCACGTGTAGCTGATGTCAGCAAACCTCTGCATTTCGCACAGCTGTTGTTACCTGTGCCTGCACGCGGTTCACGTACATCCTTTTCTAATATCACCGGCACATGATCGCTTTCGTCGTCGACATAGTTACATGTACGAATAAACCACCTTACGCGTACCTCACATCAGCAGCACCTGTACACCGTCGACGCACAGCTGACGTCAGCTGTGCCTGTACATCGTCCACGCACAGCTGACGTCAGCAGCACTTGCACACCGACCACGTACAGCTGACGTCAGCAGCGCCTGTACTGCTCACAAGCATTTTATATGACCTGTACCGGCACACTGTCCACGTGCGGCTGCCGTCAACTGGACACGCCCACGCGTCGCTGGTGGCAGCTGCGCCTGTGCACTGCTCACAAGCATTTGATGTGACCTGTACCGACACACTGTCCACGTGTGGCTCCCGTCAACTGGACACGCCCACGCGTCGCTGACGACCGGATGCTGGCGCCGTCCCAGGACGGCGGTGCTGAGGCGGCGCCGCCGGGCGGCAGTGCTGACGCAGCGGGGGCGAGAAGCCGCGGAATGTCGGCCGGAGCCGCCGCCGAGGCAGCCTTTATCTTCCCGTTCCGATGAGTGATGGGGCCTGGTGCGCTGCGTTGAATGAGGCCATGGATCATCGTTGACAAGTCAAATATTTTCTCGCCAATGCCCCGCCCATATCCTAGATGCAACCGCGACCGCTGTCGATCTCGCAGTTGTCTTTCCCTTCCGTCTGCTCCATAGTGCTTCCACCAGCATCCTCAGCCCACCAAGGTCTATTTACGCTAGTGGGCGCCTCCCGCGTTGGTACAATGTCGGGTCTCTGCAGTGCAGCATCTTATACATAAAACGCTACCTAACGCCCGGGATGAGTGAACGAAGGATCCTTGGGTCGTGGGTAAGTGCTCGTGGGAAACGTGGGTCGCGTCCGTGATCCTTGAAGCTGCTAAAGTCCTTGCGGCATATCGTTTGAATGAGTTACTTTGTGGCATGTGTCCCAGACTGTGTGCGTGTAAGCGCGAATGGGTGGGTGCCTTGCGTATGTGTGTGTGTGTGTGGGAGGGGACGAGGAATGAGAATGCAGTGCGTCTTACAGACGCCACTGATAATAAAAACAAGATACGGTGTCTTTCGTTACGCATTCTAGAGTGTTTACAGAGCGGTGCGACGTTCGTGGCACGCGGCTATAACGATGGCGTGCCTCCGTGTCGTGTGATGGCAAAGTTTGCGCGTTATGCATCCGGACGGGGGCGATGTAGTCGAGCACCGGCGGTCCTCTATCGCGTGGGGCGGTGTAGTTGGGTGCTGGCGGTCCTCGTTCCGGACGGAGACGGTGTAGTTGGGTACTGGCGGTTCTCCATCCGGACGGAGACGGTGTAGTTGGCTACTGGCGGCCTCCATTCAAACGGAGACGGTGTAGTTGGGTAATGGCGGCCTCTTATCCGGACGGGGGTGATGTAGTTGAGTACTGGCGGTACTCTTTCCGGACGGAGGTGATTCAGTGGGTACTGGCGGTCCTCCATCCGGGCGGAGATGGTGTAGAGCAGTGCTAGCGGTCCTCTGTCGCGTGGGGCGCGACCCCCTGAGCGACGGCTGCCGAGGGGCGGCCGTCCGGCCTTCACAGCCGGCTGGCGCCGCCGCCGACGGCACAAAAGGCAGTATCTGTCCTCACACCCAGCGCGCCAGGTCCGTCTGGCAGCTGAGTGTGGCCGTCCCATGCCCTACCCAGCGCGCCAGGTCTGACCGCCGTGTGTGGCCGACCCATGTCCCACCCGGCGCGCCAGGCCCGTCTGGCCGCCGCGTGTGGCCGACCTCGTCCGCCGACGACGGCCGCGCGCGTCGGTGCCGTCAGCCGCTCACGTCGGCGACTGGTCTCAGTCGACGATCGCCTAGCGCGGGAGCACGGACGGCATGCGAGCTCGCGGCCGCGAGCGGCGCTGGTGACGAACAGTGGTGAGGCGCGGTGCTGTGACGGGCTGAAGCTAACAGCCGACGGCACGCGGCTGAATGTTACTGGTAAGCACAGCGCGCTGGCGCTCTGGAAGTGGAACTTCATGGCTTAGCATTTGAAACTAGTTGGCACCCGAAATAAATAAAGAGGGAAATCTGGCAAGGACGGCAGATATTTACATGGACCAGGCGTAGTCCACAAGTTAAAGAGCATCCGGGGTGGGTGAACCAATGGGTACGCACGTGCAATGGTTAGCAGGCTGAACTGGGTACGGATTTTCGGAAAAACACGGATATGGGTACGGGGGTGAGGAAGACGTTAACGAAATGTTGAGTAGGTACTTAACATATGCTGCGTAATGCTACTATTGCTTGTACTTATTTTAGTCATACGTAGCCTCATTAACCGCATCTATGTAATCATAACGCAACGAGTAAGTTTTGATGTCATTTTTCTTGAAACGTTTGATTATTCCGAACCAAGTATTGAAAACTGCAAGCGCTTGGTTAACGAGTACAAGGGGGGGGGGGGGATGGGCTCGCACCCGCCGCATTGGATCTGTCACTGGCCGCATATATAATCGTTCTCTTCATTAAATTATGCACCATACGCTCAGTGTCACTAAGGTGCCACTAACAGCTTTTTGTTATGGGTGCGGACACAGACCGCTGTTCCTGTCGCTATATTGCGAGCAAGCCTTGTGTGCCTGTCTTAATTTTTCATGCCAAGGCATTTTAGCGGTTCATCGCATAGGCTTCCAAAGCACATCATATTTACGATAACATGCTATGTGATCGGTTCGCTGGTCGTAAGCACCCTCCGCTGCAGGGTTGTTCGTTATCTGTGTGAATGTTTCGATGCTCCGGCTGCCAGGCCGGAGCATCCAGCATTATCAGGCGCCCGGCAGCCCGCCGCGCATTGAAGTCTCGGCCCGAGTGACGTCACGGTGACGTCAAGCGAAGGTGAAGCGAGGATCTCTGAATGGGTTTACCTCTCTTATACGGCCCTGGCAGAAACAACTGTCGACTCCTCGTCCTGATGGGGGCGTAGTGGTGCTGGTGCGAGCCCCTTCAATGTTTTCTGAGTATACTTATCCGAATCTGTTTGCATACATTTGCGCCCGAATTTTCAGTAGTTTATGAGGCATTCATTGCGCATGATTTGATACAAGAGCACGTGTGCGTACCATTCCTGGTTTCGGAGCAGCGGCAGTTTCGGGAACACTGCACGGTGATCTGCGGCCGGCTCGGGCAGCGGGCGGCAACCGACGGCTTCACGAACCGCCGGAAATGGGCCGTCATTGCTGCAGTCACGGAACCATACATGATACATTACGTTCAAAACACATAAAACTGTGCACTATTGAACTCGCCACTGAACGAGGAATACGCCTGTTTAGATTTCGTGACGCGACAAGCCATGCTCTCGCTCACATGAGCAGGGCAGGAGATCGTCTTCGGAAAGAAGGGGAATTCAGGATCCAAGAGCCCGCCATTATTGGGACCCATGCCATCACAAAAGAGTCCAATCCATCAATTTTGAAACATCTCCGCTTAAGACCACTTTATTTTGAGATTGGCCGCTGATGATGATTTTTTCCAAAGGGCTGAAGCTATTTGTGAAAAATGACCTCGCAGACCCGACGTCAGGTGAAAGCTGTAACACTTTTGGACGAGCCCTAGGTGCACGACATTTTGACTAAAGGCTAAGAATTCGTCGCCATTGGAGAGATCGCCTGATGTGGGCTTCAAGCAATTTATCACGACCGAATAATCACCATAATTATCCCATTTTATCACCCCTTTCATACAGAAGCTCAACTTGTCTTTCCTTGCGCATTTTGGCGCACCAAAAGCGTGCGCTTTTGTTCCAATCCAGCATCTTCAAATTTATTTTTCCTCATCGGCGCAACCACGCCTTAAGTGTCATTGGAATTCATTTCTGTTTGAACGTCAGTTCATACAGTCAACACAAGTCGAGCGCCATTTGCACCTCCTTGAACACCCAGCTATTCAAGCTGGAGCTAGGCCGTCTATGGATCATTAACCTTTCTTACTGCGTCCAGAGCAAGTCAACAGCTTTTTTCGCGTATGAGGTGCGCGGAAATTCAGGTAAGACGTGTTTATCAGCAGCACCGTTTTGAAAAACAGAATTTTGTGCAAGCCATTCATGCTAGAGTAGAGTAGTCTACGGGTATCAATAGCATTTCCAGGGGGTTCGGCACACGACAAGAGTTTGGCGTGAAGGTATCCGGACTCTCCTCGTCGTGACGCTACCCGGACTCTCCTCGTCGTGACGGTACCCGGACTCTCCTCGTCGTGACGGTACCCGGACTCTCCCGTCGTGACGGTACCTGGACTCTCCCGTCGTGACGGTACCCGGACCCTCCCCGTCGTGACGGTACCCGGACTCTCCCGTCGTGACGGTACCTGGACTCCCCTCGTCGTGACGGTACCTGCTCTCCTCGTCGTGACGGTACCCGGACTCTCCTCGTCGTGACGGTACCCGGACCTCCTCGTCGTGACGGTACCCGGACTCTCCTCGTCGTGACGGTACCCGGACTCTCCTCGTCGTGACGGTACCCGGACTCTCCCGTCGTGACGGTACCTGGACCCTCCTCGTCGTGACGGTACCCGGACCCCCTCGTTGTGACGGTACCCGGACTCTCCTCGTCGTGACGGTACCTGGACCCTCCTCGTCGTGACGGTACCCGGACTCTCCTCGTCGTGACGGTACCCGGACTCTCCTCGTCGTGACGGTACCCGGACCCCCCTCGTGACGGTACCGGACCTCCCTCGTCGTGACGGTACCCGGACCTCCTCGTCGTGACGGTACCTGGACCCTCCTCGTCGTGACGGTACCGGACCTCCTCGTCGTGACGGTACCCGGACCTCCTCGTCGTGACGGTACCACTCTCCTCGTCGTGACGGTACCTGGACTCTCCTCGTCGTGACGGTACCCGGACTCTCCTCGTCGTGACGGTACCGGACTCCCTCGTCGTGACGGTACCGGACTCTCCTCGTCGTGACGGTACCCGGACCCCCGTCGTTGACGGTACCCGGACTCTCCTCGTCGTGACGGTACCGGACTCTCCTCGTCGTGACGGTACCTGGACCTCCTCGTCGTGACGGTACCCGGACTCCTCGTCGTGACGGTACCGGACTCTCCTCGTCGTGACGGTACCCGGACTCTCCTCGTTGTGACGGTACCCGGACTCTCCTCGTCGTGACGGTACCCGGACTCTCCTCGTCGTGACGGTACCGGACTCTCCTCGTCGTGACGGTACCCGGACTCTCCTCGTCGTGACGGTACCCGGACTCTCCTCGTCGTGACGGTACCGGACTCTCCTCGTGTGACGGTACCGGACTCCTCGTCGTGACGGTACCCGGACTCTCCTCGTCGTAACGGTACCCGGACTCTCCTCGTGGACGGTATCCGGACTTTCCCCGTCGACCCACGGCTCCAGTCTGTCCGCAGTCATACATTGCGGTAGTAGTAGCCGTGGTTCTACTGTCGTGAAATGCATTTTAGCAGCACAATCTTGTATTTACTCTTTCATACAATCCAGCGATTTTCCGTCACGCTGCGTGCCCCGAACGGAATCTCCCTATGGGGCAACCTCGAACCACCGGACCCTGCTTTGGATCTCCCCCGGCTTCTCTTTCTACTCCTGGGAACCTCAGGTTCGAGACAGCCTGCCTATGAGGTTTTGCGGGGCTTGGTGGGTACCGGGCGACACTTAGGTGGTCAGAAGGGTGGTAAAGGTAAAGGTACCTTGGTAAAGAGGTAACCGGAGGAGTGCCGGGTAGTCAGCGAAGCCCGTGAACAATCAGCGGAAACGCAGTCGGCCAGGTACTCGTTACTGGCCACAGGGCTCCTTGAGCGCAGAAGCGACCCGAGCAGCTAAAACGGCGCACGGAGCGGCGTATCTCAGGCACGAGAGGTCCCCAGGGGTGCAGCCAGAGTCTCGGTAGGGGTGCGTAAGGTAGAAAAGAGCTCCTGGTGGTGCAAGGCCTCCCCGAACAAAGAACACCGCTCGTCCTCGTTGACTTCAGTCCAGGCGACGCCGATGAGCACATGGATCACGTGGGGCGCGTGGTAACACTGCTCACGCACAGCGAGCTACTTCCCTGAATGGGGGCTGAAGGTAGCCAGCTATCTGACCCGGCTGCTGACCCGTAGCGCAAGCCGCCCGCTGCGCGAGGTGCAGCACATCGATGGCGTGTGCGGGAGGCCATGACGCTGCGACCACGCCACCCTCTGCTAGCCATAGATCTGGACTAGCTTATGGCGCTGGTCCGACCTCTAATGCGCCAGGTGACAGGTGGACCCGCCAGCAACGACGTCACCAGTCTGCGCTCGCATCTTCAGCACCGCTTTGAACATTACCTGCGTCATCTCTGCTTCGTTGCATACGTCGGAGTGAGTGCGACTCCCCGGGTTTCTGCCTGACGGCCTCACAGGCTGACGGCCATGACCCGGCTACAGTGCCGGGCGATCCCGATCACCGCGGGGTCGGTCCGGAGTGGTTCCGAATGGTCTGGGTGTCCCTGAGGAGGTCACCGCAATGACGGTCGGCGATGCGCATGCAGTCAGCAACGAAACGGGGCGGGCTGGGCGTCAGCAGCCCAGACAGTTCAGCATAGGTCCGGCAGCGTGTTGTCCACCGGCTGCGTCACCCAGCACACCGACACGCGCGGCGCCCAGCGCGATGGCAGGGTAGCGGCGCCCGCGCGGTGGCAGGGTACGGCGCCCGCGATGGCAGGGTAGCGGCGCCCGGCGCGTGGCAGGGTAGCGGCGCCCGGCTCGTGGCAGGGTAGCGGTGCCCAGCGCGATGGCTGGTAGCGGCGCCCAGCGCGGTGGCAGGGTAGCGGCGCCCGGCGCGGTGGCAGGTTAGCGGCGCCCGGCACGGTGGCAGGTAGCGGCGCCCGGCGCGGTGGCAGGGTACGGCGGCCCGGCTCGGTGGCAGGGTAGCGCCCCGGCCGGTGGCAGGGTAGCGGCGCCCGGCGCGGTGGCAGGGTAGGCGGCGCCCGGCGCGTGGCTGGGTAGCGGCGCCCGGCGCGGTGGCAGGGTAGCGGCGCCCGCGCGATGGCTGGGTAGCGGCGCCCGGCGCGGTGGCAGGGTAGCGGCGCCCGGCACGGTGGCAGGGTAGCGGCGCCGGCACGGTGGCAGGGTAGCGGCGCCCGGCACGGTGCAGGGTAGCGGTGCCCAGCGCGGTGGCAGGGTAGCGGCGCCCGGCGCGGTGGCAGGGTAGCGGCGCCCGGCGCGGTGGCAGGGTAGCGGCCCCGGCACGGTGGCAGGGTAGCGTGCCCAGCGCGGTGGCAGGGTAGCAGCGCCCGCACGGTGGCAGGGTAGCGGCGCCCGGCGCGGTGGCAGGGTAGCGGCGCCCGGCACGGTGGCAGGTAGCGGTGCCCAGCGCGGTGGCTGGGTAGCGGCGCCCCCGGCGCGATGGCTGGGTAGGCGCCCGGCACGGTGGCTGGGTAGCGGCGCCCGGCACTACGGCTATGTGGCAGACCGGGATGTTGCCGAGGAATGATGACGTCCGCTGCCCGGCATCCAGATGGGATACCAGCCGCTGTTAATGCCACAGAGCTTGAAGGCACGCTCAGTTATGTAGAAACTCCGCCCAAAAGACGGCAAGAAATATAGAGGAGCGTGGTGATGGCAATGCCAACATTGACCAGTAGCTCGCTAGACTGCTAATCGAAATGCGCAATCTTTGAATATGGCAATGGCTGCCAATGCACTAAAACTTGGATATTAAGTGCCAGACGGTTTGTACAGAAATCAGCTGCATCATTTGTGCCATCATGTGCAAAATTCCAACTCTGTTATCAAAAATATCCCAGAACGATGTGTTTCGGAAGCATAGGTCCTACACAATTTCACACACCCACGCTTTGATTAAGGGTCAGGAAATATTCATACCCATAATAAATAGGCTTCATACAACACCCAACTATGCTTGATCCGCAACTGATGTTTCATGACTGTCGTTCTCAAAAGGATGTCGGACTGCACCATGTATCGTCAGCATAGGCATCTATGGCCGGTGTAGTAAGTTGTGGCTCGAGTTGCTCATGCAGCAAAACGTCGATGTTTAGACATGTGTTCTACACTAGCTCACGCTTTAAGCGTTCACGGGTACAAGCCTACCAAGGTTTGAGTTTGGGCTAACTGTGCTGGTCTTTGGTAATTTGGTTCCACATTCCAGGTTTTGTGACCAAATAGCTCGCAAAAGTTTCCATGTATGTCACCAATCGTATTGAGCAAGTCGGCAGATATTTTTCGCCATGACTGCAAATCATCAGTTGGGTGCCATCTTTAGAAGACGCTAGTTAGAAAACGACAGGCAATTAATAATGAAGTCAGGTATGCTGGGCAGATGCGTTCTTGCTAGCTGATGCTACATGCGCCTTAAAAAAGAGTGGTTTACTTCCACTTCCGCCTCTGTTTTAAAATGCATTGTAAACCTCACGGCACTTCAGATTGCCAAGATTGGAACTACCGAGCGTGGACGTAGCGAAACCGTGGAGACTGCAGCTGCGGTGTGTGATGGTGGGTTGCCTGTCCTGAGCTCCGCGGTACATGGCGAGTGCGAAATTGTCCATTTTGCGTCCCTGTATTAGCGGGTATGTAATATTTATGTAACATACGGTGTCAGGTCCTTGTCCGCAACTTTGCGTTGCATGCATCGCAACTCTAAGTGTCGGACGTCTGTCAATAAAAATGCGACGTCATACAGCATCATGCCATATCAGCATCGCACGTATCCCAAGACCTCCCAAGTTTTACAAACAGCGTATTTGTTACCGGAGTTGCCACCATCGGCGCAGTATTTCTCGGCGTGCTTCAGAAGAGGCTGCGATGGGACGATACGAGTGTTGATGGGACAGCCATCTCGGTCTTGGAGAAAACGACGGTACCAAACTGTTTCGATCCACATAGCCCCCGAGAAAATGTCGTCATATCTTACCGGGCAGCCTCTGGTGAACTCCGCTGCATGCTGACCATCGGACCTGGACACGCGCCAGTCGCTGCCGCGATGGAACGGAGTCGGGCGCACCAAGCTGCCTGTCTGGGATGTCTCAAGGTTTAGTCCGCTGTGGGCGACCGGTTGTTCTCATCTTCGTCGGAATACGAGCCCGAAGACCACAGTGCCATCCCAAAAACCAAACACGTTTGAGCCAGGCGGAGGGCGGCACCGCACAGCCTGCGTAAAGCCGCTGGACAACAGTGTGGATGAACATCAGTGAATAAACGGATGATGTCAAACTGGCCAGACTCGCTCCGCAGGTAACGTTAGTGAACTTAGGGCTCTCCTCTATCTTCAGAGATCGCGCCGTGCCGGTGGGAGAGTGCGCTGCACTGGATCATGCATGAATAGCACCCAGCACTGAGCCTGATCTGATCCGACTCGTGACATCTCAAATCTTCTAACGCTGATTCGGTCCTTCGTGCATTGACCTCTACCCACCATCCCAAGAATAAAGCACGTTTTAGTAACGAGAGAAAAGTCGTTGAAAAACGTTTGTTGAGCTCAATCAATGATCGCTATAAAACAGCAGAAAAGTCAAACGGGAATATATAAGTACGGTGGGTGTCCGATCACTGGACGGCACGGTCAGAAATCACATCCGATCACTGAACGGCACCGTCAGGAATTCCGACCGATCACTGGACGGCACGGTCAACACTCACACCTGATCACTGGACGGCACTGTCAGGAATCCCAACCGATCACTGGACGGCACGGTCATGAACCACACTTGATCACTAGACGGTATAGTCTGAAATCACACTCGATTACTGGATGGCACCATCAGGAATCACATCCGATCACTGGACGGCACGGCCAGGACTCACATGACGCGGGATGATTTGGGTGACAAGGAGAGCAGAGGTCTTGTGAGTCAGCGGGTGTCATTAGTTCAGTGGCACGGTGCCGCCGGTTTCGAGCTATGTCCCACACATGTCGGCCTCGTTGATCTACGGATGTGTAGATAATATCAGTTTAGGATTCAGAAGCAGTGCGTAACCAAGGGGAAAGGCTTTCAAGACCATGCCCCCTGCCTCTGGTGGCAGCTTAAGACGCTCGTAGGGCTTTCAAAACATCAAGAAATGTGTCCTCGAGACGTCTAGATATAATCTCCAGTCCCCAAAGCTCCCCCAATTGGAGTATGGTTTAAGCCCTTCCTGTGTAAACTTCTGGCCATCATACTGTTCAGGGGAATGTTAAAGTTGCGCGAGACAAATCCTTAAATCCTTTAATATCGGTAGATCTGGCTTCATTTCCAAGCACGCAACTCGCCAATGCTCGTTTCGCGGCTTTAACTCTTTTTGAAGGGAACGGGACGCACTTCGTCACGCCTTATTTATACAGCAGCAGCGACTGCATTGCTCATACTGCATCTGCTGCATTGCTCACGGGCCATGCCGCGATTCAAATCCGTGGAATCCCCTCGTGGAAGTCCACTTCTGCTCTTCGTTTCGATAAAGGCATGTTCCGAGATATCAATGCATCTATGTCTCCATTCTCCTGGTTTTACTCCGATGAATAAGGCCATTACTTCTATCTCATCCATGAGCATAATGTTCCTCGCAAATGCGCTTTCCAACATACGGTTTTAAATGTGTCTGGCTCACTGTCTGACGTGTCCGCACTCGGAGACGCGTGCAGCCGCACACCGGCTGGCTCCAGATTATGCACTTTCAAGGTGACGTTCGTATACGACACTAGTCCGGCGAACGTAAGAAAACGTCCAACTCGCTAGCTTTTAAATCGCTAATCTAGTCCGTAAGGCACGGAAGTATGGGGAAAAGTGCTCACAGTTGCGTTCGTGTCGTTTCAGAATGTCTGTATTCATGGCGGTATGAGAGCTGCCGCCCTGCATCTGCTGCTCGTGGTGGCAGCTGTGCGCCCCTTCTCACCCACAGGTAACTCACGTCGCTCATCTATCAAACTTGTGCATTGGTATTGAGTGGTTCAAGAACAGCGTCGAGAGCTTTGGGCGCTGACGGCGTGTTAACTCCCCATGGGAGTGTAGGCGAAGGCGCTTACTCGCGAGGTTCATGTGAACTTGGGTCGTTTACGTAGTTATCTGCAACATTGTATCCCAAAAGACCGATTATTTTTGTACGGCGTGCCAAACAGTAATTTCCTAAAGCACTCATAGCATATTCGCCTCTCTGACTTGTTTTGTCGATTGTGCTGCGCGTCGCCGGCGTGGAGCCCGGTGCTGCCTGGGCTAACAAGGAGAAACGGGCTTCGGGCGTAGGGCTGAGCTGGCTTCTGGTTTTCGGCGTGGCAGGACTTAAGAAGCGCTCGGGCAGGGTGGGCGGCGGTGGGATAGTTTGACTCTTCCCTGAAAGTTTACTTGAATAACTTCCGAACGGTGCGGTGCAGCCTCTTGTGGTTGTTAATTGATGTTTTCGGGCGCGTCGACTGCCGTGGTCATTTGGCCGCCAAAGGAGTTTTGTTTTACCTAACTAATGAACCGCGTAAATGGTCCCAAAGTTGATGGGTCTGAGAAAGAAAAAGACCTGTTGAAATACAAGAAATTGTGAGTTGTCTCCTAAAATGTCACAGAGCGTCAGGGGCGAGTCACGCCGTCCAAAGTGACGTTGTCGTTCTTTCACAATGCGCGGACACGATATAAGCACATGGCGAACGGTGAGAATAACACCTCGTCGATGGGAGATAGGTCTATCGGCTCCCTCCAACATATAACCGTGGGTTACGTGATTGTTCCCGATGCGTAGTCTGCAGAGGATCAGCTCTCCTCGCCTCACCTTCTGAGAACAAGATAACCACTGATGCAACTCGGGTTTGATTGCTCTGAGCTTAATACTATCGGTCACATACCAGCAACGTTGCCACTCGTTCTACAGAAACGTCCTTATTGCGGGGTCAAAGTCTGTAGCAGGGTTAGAAAGAGAGCGTACACATGGAACCAGCTCTGCTCCCCTGGCAGCCGCGGCAGCCCCCTTTTGCCGGTGATTCCAATGTGACTGCGGACCCAACACAAGATGACTTTCTCCCGGGCCTCATCCAGTTCAGTCAGGCGTCCTAAAATGTCCTGTACGAGAGGATATGAGGGATGAAAAGGCCTAAGACTAAGAAAGCTAATGAGAGGGTCCGTCAAAAAAAAGGTTCGTTGCCGACCTTAATAAAACACAGCGCCCTGTTGATCGCTACCAACTCCGCGGAGAACACCGACGCGCGTGGAGGCAATGAAAACAACCGGATGTCCTAGTAGCTCACAAACGCACAACCTACACCACCAGAAGTTTTAGAGCAGTCCGTGTAAGTAATTATGTAGCCCTCACATGACCCCTTGCGCTCAAGTGCCCTGGACCTCATTTCATCTGGCAAGACGACATTAGTGTTCATATCTGTTAGAGACGTATGTATTGAGAGTGAGGCCAAATGCCAGGGAGGTTGCACAGATGTCCTGCCCGCTTCGCCCTTCGAATGGGAGTTTCGCTTTCCTGCAGTAAGGCGTACATTCGGAGGCCAAGAGTCATAGCATGTACTCGAGGTGCGCTGCTATGAAAACGTACAGCAGACCGTGAGAAACTGTGCCATATGCCGGATGCGAGAGGAGCTGTCGCAGCTTGAGCGCACAACGCATACCGAGCATTTTCCTCCTCGCTGACAAGAGCGGCTTGTGTGATTCCACCATGAGGGTTACGGTAGGTGATGTGCGGAACGCCCATGTGATAACTCGTAAAACGGTGTGATGGACAGTGTCAAGGACGCATTTGGTGGATTCACACGCGCTGTCATAAATAAGGCATGCATAGTCCAGCTTAGGACGTAAGATTGGGCGATACAATAGCAAAAGCGTGCATCGATTTACTCCATGCGATGTGCGTGAAGCACATTTCATTAGGTTGCGCTGCAGTCCCCGGTAAACGCTGTTTTGCCGCAGGGAATTGAAAAGCCAATCTTCTAACAATGAATTATATAAATCTTGTGAGGCCACCGGCAGGCCAAAGCCAGGTAATGGCTGTCAGCAAAGGCAATTCGTAGGGAATCGCGTAATATGATGCGACGAGGTAGTGTCCATTGGCTTTGATTCGGTCTGATGGCCAGGTAAAAGTAAAATCAGACCGTTTTATAGTTGGAAAAAATACTTCATGCCTTAGTTTCTGACGCTCATTCCGAACTTATTGACGCAGATTTAAACGGAAATATAAAGCAATTTCAAAGTTTTTTTTCTCGAAGGCTTCGAGGGAACAAAATTAGGATCCAGAAGTACTGAGGTACCGTATGCATGGGTCGATCGGTTGTGAGTGCTATGATGACAGTGAAAACTTTATTTCAGCAGAGTAAGGTCTAAGATTAACTGAATGGTTGGAATTGTTTAATTAGGGCATAATATTGCTTACATAATTTTAGCCATCAATGTTCTCGTTTTACTGGGCTTCAAACTTCACTTCAGAACAACATACGAAAAAACCTATGCTGTTTTTTCAAAGTACGAAGTGTGCGAAAGTGCGAATCAAAGTGCATGCCATGTATTAATAAGTAATTTTGATAAGTGTTCTGTACCCTCATATAATCTGTATAAAGTTTCCGATAAACTCTGTGAACATTTCTTAAAACAGAAAGTTCAAAGATGATATCGTCGATCTTTAAACCTCTTAAACATCGGGTGATCCGACGTCGTGTTCTTGAACGGAGACATGAATGCTCCAGGAGTCAAAAAAGGTAAAACGGCACATGACTAAAACCCAAATAGGGGAAAAGCTTTCAGGTCAAGAATTGCAAGTGGTTAAACGCCGACGGGACCAATAGCTTGTTTTTTAAAAGATTAACGGCACGGAAGGGAAAAAGTGGCACATGAACGGAACAGATTGGACCAATAGGTCTTGGAGAAACCGCTTGTGTTATTCCCTCGAACACTTCAGTTGCTTGGAGTTGTGTCGGTCTCACCCCAAGATGCAAAATATTCCCTACAATCCATTAATGAACTTGTGTGTCCCGTCGTGCGCTGTCCAGTTCCGTACTAGCCCGGATGTCCGAAGGCTTTCTTGCAGCCTGTAAATGTTCGGCATAACACGAATGAACACCACGACTATGTCTGGACGCCCGGGGCAGCAGCGATGCGGTATTGACATGATCTGATTCAGAACAGAACGAACAATTATATGGGCACAAATATGCGTGACGGTCGTCCGCAATTCCCACTATCTTGAGCGCAAAATATGGACCCTGAGGTCTGGAGTGCTTTCTGACGATTAACATCAGATGCCGGCAACCGAAGCAGCATACACAGGCTTCAAAACAGTTGCGTAGCATAGGCGAATGTACTGTCTGCAACTTGTTTGTCCAATTCAATACTGGGTATGCCAGACCCTTGAAACATTTTTCGTTATTTTTGTTCCACGATTTTCAGTGATTTTTTTTCAGTCCTATCCGATTTGGTGGAACTTACCACAAAAGTTCATCGAATTAGTCGGTGCCAATCCGCTTGCAAAATTAAGGACTCTTTACAACTTTAACAGTAAATCTAGTTAAGTGAGTACGTTTAATGCTAATGATTTGTTCATTCTCATTGGAAAAGACGCTGTAAACCAGTGGGTGTCGAGCTCCTTAACACAGCTTATTGCCTGTCGGGAATGTAATTTTGCATTAAGATCAGAACAAGCAAGGCCCATCATATCAATGACAATATCACGATTATATCTGCCAATACCTCTCAAACACCACTACATTGCAGCGACCAAAATCGCTGCTCATCACAATTACATGCAGGCATGAGCATGTTATCTAACAATATCAGACGCCTGGTCGGTACACAAATTGCCACATATCGATTGACAGTGTCAGCGGCACCCAATTCAGAAGCGCATGACGACACCCACCTCGCATGCCTAATATGAACGAACACTTCACCAAATACATGGTTCTTCAAGTGTGTGTTCGCTCGCGGACATACCACGAGTACCTGCTGTTTCAAAATAACAATCCCCCGCGCGACCGTCTATTGGGAGGTGCCTGCAGTACCAACTCATTCATCCAGCAGAACGAAAGAACCATGAGTACTTGCTGCGTCAAAATTACAATCTACCCGCGCGACCGTCTTTTGGTAGGTGCCTGCGGTACCAACTCTTTCATCCAGCAGAACAAAATAGTTGCGTCGTTTTTGAACCCCGTTGCTAATATAGCATACGCTACCAGATATCTTTTTTGCGAGGAACAAATACGAAAGCTAATTTGGTTGTAATCGGGCATCGTACAGCTGCAGGTCACATATACACAGTAAAAAACAAACTATTGTAGACATGTTGACAATGTTACTTCACTTTGCATCCACCGTTATTGTTTTCAGCACGCTAACAGAGATACCATCAACACCCTGTCAGTCGCCCGTCATTCGACATTTGCCACGACCGCTGATGCTTTGGCACATCGTAGACATGCTAGCCACTTGCCAAAGGCTCTGGTGACCGCACAAGCTACCCGAAATCTTACCAAATCTTCATTTGAGATATGAGTGAACGGTCATGGGGATGTTCATCCACGTTAATGACTTCCTGAATTTCTGTGTTAAGTGCCCTGGGCCTTTTAAATAATTAAAGAAGAATAGCAGGCATGCAACTATAAGAAACAGTATAAATCAATAAGGACCCACTAAATGCCCAAAGCGTTTGCTGGATACGGAGTACCTAGCTCACATCAAACAGCTAACTGCTGTGTGATAAAGTTACCTGGCTGGTTTCTGGTTGTAGAGGTCAACATGTTCATTCTTTGATTACATTAATTTGGGAGTGAGGATAAAGGAAATGATCTGTGAGGATGGAACATTATTTATTGCCAGCCACCCGGAAATGGATCGGTTGAAGCAGGTACTTAGTCTTAGGCTGGTGTTAGACTCAAATTTGTATGGGTGATTAGCTCAACAGAAACTACAGTGTTTCATTGAGTT